GCTTTTTGCGCTACCGCTCACAGGATGGGTATGGGGTGCACAATAAACTAGCCGCCTCCGGCGGCACCAATCAAAAATTAATCCTGCTTGGGGCGAACATGTCTGGTGATTGTGGCGTATATGTCTGGCGTGTATATACTTAACCTATACCTATAATAGGTATAGGTTATACCTATAATAGGTTAAGGTTATACCTATAATACCTATACCTATAATAGGTTAAGTAATAATTGTAATTACGAAGCAATAAGATGCTTATCTTAACATACTAAGAAGGTTAGGTAAGGTCGGTGTTTTCTATGAAGCTTGTCAAGGTAAACTAAAATATTCACAATAAATTAGTATGTCACATATGCACTTATTAAATAAGTCAATATTGACTGTAAGAAAGTGCGAGAACGGGTTGCTTAATATGTGGGGTTTAAATTTAGTCACTCAAGATGTAGCATCTAAGATTAGTCACTTAATATGTGGCGTTTAAGTTTAGTCACGTAGTTATCGCTGTGAAGAATGGCGTTACTCGGGGTCAGATAATTCTTTACGTGTGTCTCACGTGAGTCGGTAATTGGGGCAACTAAAAACCAATTTCAGAAGAGGGTAGAAATGACAACAAATTATCCCAACTAGATGTTATCTAGTTATGTAAGCAAACCTTGAGTTACCTTCATGTATGAAAGAACTGGGAAGGAAAATGTCATCCAACAAAACACACACACACACTATCAGTTTGCAGTTTCTAAGAGATGGGTTTGATATACAACCGGAACGAGCAGAGATCAGGGAACTGGATACGCGCCCTCCCTCCACACACGTGCGCATATCTACATGTATGAAAACATTTGCAACAACGCAATACGACGCGTGTGTTCACATTAACGTTGCTTAGCGACGAATACGTCAACACACACAGCGCTCTTCTGGGTATAAGTGGCTGTACCACGATGTCTGTTTTAGCTTTGAATGTTATAACGAAGCTGATCAATACGTTCCAAGAGTGGCACTGTATTGGCATCCCTGTAGGCCCTGGCTCAGCTGCGTCAATCCTTAACACAAATATTGTCTTTGGTTACTCTCTGCCTGGTCTGCCTGGCTTCATCCCCCCTTTGTCTGTCTGTCTCTCAAAACAAACAGCATACATTTCACTACTTGTCCCGGGTTCCAACAGTGGGCGAGTGAGGCGGGTCGTGACCCCGGGCTGATGACCCACCGGGTCAGGAAGTGGTCGGCCGGCGAGGTAATTACCTAAGTGTAGTTACAGGATGAGAGCTACGCTCGTGGTGTCTAACAGTCTAACAAGGTGTTGACTGGTGGAGCCCGCGGACACCATAAGTCTGGCAGAACGGTCGCTATGTTGATCTACGGTTTGGGAGATGAAGTCACGTATAGCGGACGCTGTTCAACAGTCACGGTGAACAAGTCACGCTGCCAACAGCTATGTTTACACATTCGCAGTGTTCAAAGGGTAAAGTTCTGGAAAATTCACGAAGCCACGTTAATCACCGTGTTGTTCAGACGCATGCAGACGAGGAGTCACAATAACGTGGCTGAAAAATCGACTTGAGAATGGTCCAGGACGGACCGAAACGTCGTCGTCTCTTCACTTTCAGACGCATCCTTTAAACCACGTCACGCAGTCACTCCGGAAGGTTAGGTTGTACAGTCAGACTGGATAGTCACTGTGCTGAGGGGTTGGACAACCAGTTTGTGCCGCTGCCTCATTCGCTTGTTTCCTGTTTAGCCCCCTCGTTGTGCGTCTTGGCTTCCTGTCTACACTCACGTTATAAAGTCACGTACAGTCACGTTATATAGCCACGTACAGTCACCTTATACAGTCACGTACAGTCATGCTATATAGTCACGTACAGTCACGCTATACAGCCGCGTAATATAGTCACGTACAGTCACGCTATACAGCCACGTACAGTCACGCTATATAGTCACGTACAGTCACGCTATATAGTCACGTACAGTCACGCTATATAGTCACGTAGTCACGCTATACAGCCACGTACAGTCACGCTATATAGTCACGTTATATATCCACGTACAGTCACGTTATATATCCACGCAGTCACGCTGTATAGTCACGTAATCATGTTATATAGCCACATACAGTCACAGTATATAGTCAGGTACAGTCACGTTATATAATCACGTACATTCACGTTTTATAATCACGTACAGTCACAGTATACAGCCACGTACAGTGACGCTATATAGTCACGTTATATATCCACGTACAGTCACGTTATAGAGTCAAATATAGTCACGTTGTAAATCATTTGAATAATCACCTTGAAAGGAAAGTTGAATATCACTTTATTCAGTAAGGTTAAAATAACGCGGGGAAGAAATAGGAAGCTGAGACGAGGTCAGCCGCGCGGTTGGTCAGACACAGGATACCTCCAACGCTATACCTTCATCATAGTTATTTTTACTGTTTAGTTTCGAATGATTCTAATATTTAACGCAGTCAGAAACTCACACATTAAGTGTGAGTTTAAGTACAAGTAGATTAGTTATCTAGATACATCTGCTGTATGGCTTAACTATTCCTTTAACCCAGAACGAGGTGTATATATATATATATATATATATATATATATATATATATATATATATATATATATATATATATATATATATATATATATATATTGGATACATCAGTTATATGGCTGCATAATTGTATGTAGGACAAGAGGTTTGTTAAATGTTTGTAAACATTTTTATTCCAAACGCTGGTGCTTATAGGGACAAAAATAAATGTATACAATGTTATGACCTTTGAAACCCAACACTCACAAGCAGACATTGGCGTGCACACACACACACACACACACACACACACACACACACACACACACACACACACACACACACACACACACACACACACACACACACACACACACACACACTCAGCCACCAGGCGTCCACACGGGCTCCTGAGTGGACAGCATTTAGGACTCGTAATCCTGGGGACTGGGGTTCGATCCCCGGCGATGACGGAAAACAAATGGGCAGAGTTTTTTTCGCCCTGATGCCCCTGTTACCTAGCAGTAAACAAGTACCTGGGAGTTAGGCAGTTGTTACGGGCTGCTTCCTGGGTGTATGTGAAAAAAAAGGGTTGATTTATTGACAGTTGAGAAGCAGGCCCAAAGAGCAGAGCTCAACCCCCGCAAGCACAACTAGGTGAGTACAATTAGGTCTCCCAGTAGGCCAACAGGTGGGAGGGGCATGGAATGGTCTCTCTCCCAGCAGGCCAACAGGTGGGAGGGGGTCATGCTGGCTCAGCGAGTAGGTTCTAAATCATTTTTTAGGTTCTAAAGGTTCTTAACCATTTTTGAGTCACGGACCACTTTGAAAGCTATGAACCCCCTCTCTAGAGAAGCGCACATAACCGTATGAACACAAGTTTACAGGCAATGAATGTACATTACTCTATTTGATTGCAAATTGTTTGCTTCATACAGAGTATGACAGAGTATGACATACTTTCACGGACCCTCTAAAGCCGATCCATGGACCCCCAGGTTACGAAGCCCTGTAATCTATAACCTGATAACAATTTCACCATTCTGAGTCATCGCTACTCTTAACTCCACCCGACCTGACCTGACCAAATAAGAGATAATATTTTGTTTTGCACGTAATGTGTACAAGGTGTGTGGACTATGATGACGTCATACTCCCGTTCAGATAGTCTACGGATTTTGATCCGTAGACTACTCCGCTACGGTAAAAACGAAAATATTAAAACGGAAACCATCTATAGAACCAAGTCAAATCACTTAATACAAAGAAAATGCAATATAAAAGATTTGAAAGTGATTATGTCGAAGAGCTTACTTTTAAAGAACACAATAAAGTAGCTGCAAGAAAATGACAAGACTGGATAACAAGAACCTTTCAAACCAAGAGATGCTAGACTCGTTCAAGCTGGAGAGGTTGCTGACTAGAAAACGTGCAAATGATCTTTCACTGCCTGAATCCATTTAACGTTTAGCATTTCTAAAGCTGTAATTCTCTAGAGCGCATGCGAGAGAGATATATAATAATTTAAACTTGGCAAATATTTAGAGGGACTGGTTCCAAATCTGTACACTGAAATAACTCCTTACGAGACAGGAAGTGCAAAATAACCTTGTTATAAAGTGCAATAAGTACCCTAAGAGAGTTCTTCCTGTGACCAAGACTTTTTAACACTTCTTCTAAGCATAACGGGCATAACTACCCAATCTCTAACGGAGTTAGAGCAACCCACCGTTAGAGCAAGTCCATTCCACCCAGCGGTTGACCCCAAAGATGCAGTCATAAATTTTAACACGCTGTTCATTCAAAACAGGAGTTTTCTCAAATATAAATTAATATTGTTTGTATATTAGCATACTGTGCATATTTAGGCATTGGTTAGGTTAGGTGTTTAGGTTCTGTTGGCGATTATTTGTATTTGTAGTACGTGGGTGAAGCATTAATAGCATTGTGGTTCGAACAAAATTCGTCAGTGAAGCACTTGTTCCGGAAGTGTTCGAACGTCAGCAGTTGTGAGTCGTGTGTAAACCGCTTTTCATTCATAAACAGGGTTTGGCGGGTACATTTAAATGGCCTTTGTTTATGAGGACGGGCTGGTTAGAGAACTTGATAAACAGCTCCAAAGAATACCTGGTCACTTAGGCAATGATTCATACATCAGACGTCTAACAGCCTCGTTATCCAGACCACCAACCAGGAGGCCTGGCCAGAGACCGGGACGCGAGGACATTGATTCCCGGAACTAAACAGGTATGGAGGCAAAAGGACAGGAAACGAGGGGAGACGTGAGGGTGAGAGACGTGAGGGTAGTAGACGTGAGGGCGGGAGACGTGAGGGCGGGAGACGTGTGAGTGGGAGACGTGAGGGCGGGAGACGAGTAGTGTGGGTGGGTGGAGAGGGTGCAGCAGCAGCAGCAGCATGGGAGGGACGCCATGCTGCTGCTGGTCACAGTCGCCCGCACTAGCGACCAAAGGCGCCAGTATACGACCAGACACCAGAGCGCTAGGGTGCTGCATCGTTTTCTCTAGTGCCCGCGCGTGTGAGAAATTAACGTTTCTGTCAAATGTTGGGACGTTGATTTCGCGTAAATAAACGTAACCCAATTCCAGGCTTCATATAACGCCAGCTTCTTAATAAGGTAAGTTAAAATGTGCGCTGTTAAAGTGCAAATACTTCCCCGTATGGTCGGAGAGTAGATATATAGCGAGCCCCGCCTACCCGCTATAGACAAGCGGCAACAGTTAGGCCACACCAACACTTCGCTTTACAGAACTTGTCACGCTTTACTTCGTAGAGATTTGATCAGCCGAGGTCTATTGTCAGGGAGACGATAGGTTTAGCGAGTGATAGAGCTGGTAGTTTGAGCGTGTTGTTGATGGGTCGTGGGTCAAGGGACGGAATGTACACAGCTGCTGCTGCTTGCTGGTTCACTGCTCTCTCCCCCCCTCGAGCCTCGCTTTCCCTGGCTTCCCACACTACAGAACCAGGGACCCCCAGGCTTCCCACACTATAGCACCTGGGACCCCCCTGGCTTCCCACACTACAGCACCAGGGACCCCCTGGCTTCCCAAACTACAGCACCAGGGACCCCCTGGCTTCCCACACTACAGCACCAGGGACCCCCTGGCTTCCCACACTACAGCACCAGGGACCCCCTGGCTTCCCACACTATAGCACCAGGGACCCCCCTGGCTTCCCACACTATAGCACCAGGGACCCCCCTGGCTTCCCACACTACAGCACCAGGGACCCCCTGGCTTCCCACACTACAGCACCAGGGACCCCCTGGCTTCCCACACTATAGCACCAGGGACCCCCTGGCTTCCCACACTACAGCACCAGGGACCCCCCCCCTGGCTTGCCACACTACAGCACCAGGGACCCCCCTGGCTTCCCATACTACAGCACTAGGGACCCCCTGGCTTCCCACACTACAGCACCAGGGACCCCCTGGCTTCCCACACTACAGCACCAGGGACCCCCTGGCTTCCCACACTACAGCACCAGGGACCCCCCTGGCTTCCCACACTACAGCACCAGGGACCCCCCCTGGCTTGCCACACTACAGCACCAGGGACCCCCCTGGCTTCCCATACTACAGCACTAGGAACCCCCCTGGCTTCCCACACTACAGCACCAGGGACCCCCTGGCTTCCCACACTACAGCAGGATGAAGTCCCTCTAAACAATAACACGAGGCCTGCGTGTTAGTGGTTAGCTGGCAGCATCGAGTGGCATTTCCATTTACGGCTTGGTTTACCCGTGACTGCTTTCAAACCTTTTATATTTGGGAGATGGTCTCGTGAACCAGGCTTGTACACACCTAATTGTGCATGCGGAGGTTGAGCTCAGGCTCTTTGGGCCCACCATTCAACTGTCAGTCAATCAACTTAACCCCCAACCCCCCTAATGAAGCAGCCCGTAGCAGCTGTCTAACTTCCAGGTACCTATTTCCTGCCAGGTGAACAGCAGTGAAAGAAACTGCCCATTTGTTTCCGCATCCGCCGGGAATCGAACCCGGACTTTTATGACTACGAATCCCGAGCGTTGTCCACTCAGCCGTCAGGCCCCTGAATGCTACTGTCATTGTGCTTGTGCTACTGTCTTTGTATAGCTGGTCAACAAATGAAGTACATTGAAAAAACAGTTATGGAAACCACCCCCATCCACAACTTTAATAAAAAGGCCGGATACGCCCAAGAATTCAGCATTCATTAGGTTAACGCACCAAGTACGATAAGGCTAGTAGACGGGTGATAAAGAGTACGACGTCACTAACTCCACAGCCACAGTTAGGTAAGCATTGCTTCCTGTCAACGTAACTATCACAATCTGGCATACCAGGCAGGTGGGTACCTGTCAAATCTCTAAAACGGTTACCTTTGTTCCTTAATTATCTCATATTTGTTGAAGGGTCATGGAACTCTGATATCGACAGTAATGTACACTATCGTGTCTCGCATTATCATCATCCTTGTTTTATTTTATAAACTAACCGAGTACTTCTAGTATACATTATGCGATCTCTTAGTTTCCGTTCCGGAGAGTATAGGCTATTTACAGTGCTCTGAAGTCGCTTCGTCACGATAGTGTAGATGCGCCATTGATTATTATAGTAAAAGAATACCATGCGGAACACAAAGTGATGGTTTTCAAAAGGTAATAAATTAGTTCCTGCAAAATTGCCGGATCAGCTTGGTTGTAATTTGTATGTGGCCCTTCAGGCCGCTTACAACCAACAACCTTTCAGATAATGTTATCACAACAGAAGCCTGGCCCCAGGTCAGTCATTGAGTAGTAGGAGCTGTACGTGTACTCCTTGGTTTGATGGTTCTCGATATCTAGGAACACTGTCATAGGTGACACGTTTGCTTTTTGCTCTCTAACGTTACGTCTAGTGATAGTTATGTTACTACCTGTTACATCCTACCAAATGGCGAATGCTCGAGTGTTCACAGATCGCTGAGGTTGAGCGCCTTACTCAGTGACGTCTAACCAACATGTGGCGTAGTCACCGGCGGTCTGGTTTGCGCAGTGTCATGGGTCTTACCATTAGCCGTGTTAGATAACGTGACCGATTACATCTGCTTTAACGGATATGATGTTAGAGCTTGACCAAGCACCATCTTGTTTGTCCAAGATAATACATTAAAATAAGCACAATCTAATAACCTTAGTTAGCAAGTAAGGTTATACATCCTAACAAATTTATTCTCTGGAAATTCCGCCATGCAGGAAGGAATCGCATCAGTGAACTCAGTGGTTGTGGGCGGGTATGACTCCAAGAAGGCTGAGTAATTTTTTATTAATTTTTTTTTATATTTTGCCCCGGGGGGCGAGTTTATTGGACAGCGCCACTCATCTTGTGAGTGGACATATCGCCATAGCAGCATGTACAACACTCCCCAATAGGAAGAAAACCCGCTGGGTTGTTCATCCTGTCACTTGTACCCAGACACAGCTAGGACTTGCTTAATTGTCTAGTAATGTGGTGATAGACTGCGGTATCGTAACACAGGCTCGTATGCCGCAGCTTAAGGCTCATGAGACTGTGGTATTGATTTTCATGGGTGATGTTAAATATAAAGGTGGCGATAGTGTCAAGTTGATGAACCTTCTCCCCAGGTGAAGCGTCGCTGATCGATGGTTTTACAAGGGCATAGCCTAACCTAAACCTGGGTGTTGGACAATTACCTTCCAATCATTAGGTTATTGTGGTTTCGAATTATTGCTTCTTTAAATACTTAACTAGGCCCTTTTCCTAGCAGATTTAGGTAGTTGCAGCCGCCACCATGTATTTAGAGGCACACAGGATGAGGGATACAATGTACATATGTAGTGTTAGCGCGAACGCCTCTCATTTTCCTCTACAATAACAAAAATGTGTCATTAGCCCAGAACATATTCATTGTGTGTAGGCGTGAATATAATCAACCACTTTCATTTGTCTCTACCACAGAAGTAGAGCACACGTGTTTTAATGTGCTTCAAGAGTATCTGTGGCATGAAGTTAAAACTTCTTTACCTTCTATAGTGCACTGCTGAAGCGACAATAACCACTTGCACGTGCAAACACGTGCAAAACAGTGAAAACAAATGCTGGTTTTAAACAATTAAATATGAACATTCACTCGTGCCGTGGGTTAAGAGACCTCACTATTTACATACGTATATACACAGTCTTCACGCGGCTGTGCTTACAGGTGAGTAAATTTTAAGCTTCCACGCGAATAACTCCCAAAACCTGCCAGCACCAAACCTCGGCTACACAAAAACCTGATGAAAACAGGCATCTAACTCGCGTTCACATAATCGTGTAGGAACACACACACCAGTATGGCGTTGTCTGCCTTCTTTTACACGGGCAGAAGCGAGCCCCTCGGAGGAGTGACTTTCGGTGTAAAATAACCACTTTGTGAATAATTACAAAATACGGCGTAAAGCTCATGCCTGTCTCCCAATTTAAGCAACAAAATTCGCGGATTATCTGCTGCTCCTCACTAAATTTCACTGAACTATTATTAAAAAATGAAGTGTTGATGCTCGATTTTGCTAGGAACTAGGATATTCCTGGTCCGGTAGAATCTTCCCGTGTAAGTTTTTGCAGTGTAGTCTATTGATTGTTTTTCTTATTTCTTTTAACTTCCTCCCCCCCCCCAAGTTAAATGGTCCTTTGGCTTGTGATTATGGTGCGTTAATGAGGGGTTGAGATTCTAAATGACTGGATTACAGTGTGCTGATTACCTTGCGAAATCTTTACACGGAGAATGGTGGAAACGATTTTTGGGTTAGGTGGTGGTGGGACGTCGTGATCGTGGTGGGAGAGGATAGGCTAAGTGTTGCAAAAGAAAAAAAATAGTTATCAATAGCAGCATATTAAGTTTGGTAACTGAGAATTTGAAGCTCTTGGAATTAGTTTGCGATTTCATACTAATTATTTTTTTTGTTAGAGTTTTAACACTAAAGTATATTATTAATTTCCACACTTGCAATCAGTGATCACCGAGTCCTAGTAACTGTATTGTTTGTGTATTATTACTACAACTGTTGTTATTACTACTACTGTTATTAGTGTTTTACAAATATTACCACTTAACTGCAGTGATATAAAGTGTTGTTTTACACTTCTGCATACCTGCCTAGTCCAGCCAGAATTGTAACGATTTGATGACGTTCAGAATAAAGCGACAGTCTGATTCCTGTGTTAGTAACGAGGAGGGCAGCGGGTCCAGCCACAAGCCTCGCCACCACCACCACCACCCACTGCCTTGTCAACATCCGGTGGTGGTGGTGGGATGGAGGTGGCGGCGGTGCTGGGATTTTGTATTTTATTATTAACATTGTTAAATCTCCATTAATGTAGCTACTATTCATCTCGCTGGATGGATAGTCAGAAAGTAGGTATGTGGTCAATAGCCTGGACTGAAGTTTTTAAGGATTATGAGGATATCTTCAAGAACACTACTGAATTACTAATTACCAAGCTGAAGGTACATCACATCGGAAGGTCTAATGGCAGGAAGATGCCGTTCGATTTTGAGAGCAGCGATCACATAGTCCTAGGAATTGTACTGGATTAGTACCCACGGTGTACGCTCGAATCCTCCGTACGGCTTCAGCTGATTTTCTCAGTGATAC